AGATAGTTGAGTAGATAAATAGATAGAGGGGTGGATGGATGGATAGATAGGTAGATAAATAGATAGAGGGGTAGATGGAGGGATAGAGAGATGGAGGGATAGATAGACAAATAGATAGTTGGAAAGATAAATATATAGAGGGGTGGATTAGATAGGTGGATTAGATAGAGAGATAGATAAATAGAGGGTTGGATAGATAGATGGAGGGATAGAGCGACAGATAGAGGGGTGGATAGATAGATAGTTGGGTCGATAGATGGATATATAGATGGACTTTTTAAATATTTCTCAATTTCATGGTAAGAATCTGTATTTGAGCAGACTCATTGTTTCTGCACTTGATAAATAAATGAATCTGAACGAGTCCAAACACTGGAAAATATTTTTTTTTATTATTTATTATTTATTTAAAACGAGACATTAACAAACAAGCGGAGGAGTGAAGCGGTGAATGTGTCCGGTGATGACCCGGCACACCGGTCGTGTCTCCACCGGGCCGCTGCTCCGCTGCCGGTTTTACCGGCTGTGATGTCACACTGGTGCGTGTGAGTGTGCTTCTTCTGGACTCGGCTAAAGAAGAAGATGGCCTCCTCAGGTTGGTGTGCCTTCAAAACTCTACATCTACACAGACGCGGCCGGTGCCGGGGCCACCTCAGCCCCGAACCCGGCCAGCGTGTGCGTTTCCCCGACTTACCGTGTTCGTAGCGTCGCTCCGAGCTGTAATTTGACCGTAAATGTCTCTTCTCGGCACAGCGGCGATCTTCGCGGGAGCCGTCTATGTCGTGGAGCTACCGTGTTGGCTAGCAGAGCTAAAGCGAGGCGTTGTTAATAGCTCGTCCAGTGAGTTAGCTTAAACAGCCCTCGGTGTTAGAAATACGCGTCAGGGCTGCACACACTGATTTAACGGGTTATAAATAAAACCCCATAACCTAAACTATGCGATGTGAAAGTTTAGGTGGTGTAAAAGTTTTAGTTTTACGAGAATTGTACTCAACCGCAGGCGCTGCTAGCTATCTTAGCTAACTTAGCTGCTAGAATATTCTAACACGGCGCGGCACAGTGTCCATTACGCTGCGTACGAGCCGTTTGGTTTAAATGTCGAACTGTGAATACACACTTGTGTTGTTTACTATAATAACTGTGATGCAGTAATGTAGCTGTGGTAAATATAATATCTAATACCAGTGGCTCCACTGTGAGGCACAACATGACGGTGGTGGAATTGTTTTATTGCAGGCTCACTTCCCTGCTGATCGCATCTCGCTAGCGCGTTATTTTCTACATAATATCAGGATCTCTACATTTGTGACTGCACATATCGCGCCAGGGTTCAACTCTGCGTCTTCATCGTGCTTCAGATGTTTGACATTGTTGGAGGAACGCTCGCTATTCGCAATAACGCTCCAGCCACCGTAGTTGGCACGCTTCGCGCAGCAAATAGCCGGAGCCCGCGCCTGCGTAAGCGCCCAGGAAGAAGCGTGGTTCTCAAAACTTGCTGCGTAAACTCTTTGGATCACAGGAAAAAAACCCTCAATCTAGAGTTAAACACGATCACAAGCTGTTTTCTGTCGTGTGAGTTGAACCACGCGTCACAGGAGTGTTGAAGACAAAGTGTAAAAATGAGGAAGTGGTTGAACACAGTGGAAACTTACTCAGGAGTTAGTGGCGACCTGCCGCCGAGTCACTGGTAACGTAGCGAGGTTCAAGATATTGGGTTTGTAAAGTTTCTGCTGCCACAGAAATGTAGTGCAGCTGAGTTTCTGCTTCAAGAAAACAGAAAGTGAATTATTTGAATTGACACCTGAAGCCTTAGTACTAATAATAATACACACTAACCCCCCATGGATCCTTAATTTCATATGACAAGACAATAAACAATGGAGAGAACTAAAAAAAGGACATTTACTGAATGCATAAGTGGCACCAACTGAAGCTGATCCTGATTATATTGTATATAGATCAATTAGTCATTTCTCATCATGTGAAGGCCCTTAGTTTCCTTCTTACACTGTACACAACCCTGTTAAAACTCCAGGGATGTAAGATTTCTGAGGCCAGCCTCAGGTTTAAAAAGCCTAATGGGAATTTATGGGTCGGTATTTGGGCTTTTTATACAAAATATAGATACTTTTTGTGAACATTAATGAAGTAGGGTGTGGTGAGCACAGGGGTGTTTGCTGACCACATCAGTAACTGAAACTCAAATGAATGATTCACAATTTCACTGATAATGAACATAATAATTTGTAGGGTTGGCCAAACGTTAGTCGATGGATAGAGGCTAAGTCGACCAAATTTTGATCGGTTTATGAAAAAAAACAAAAGTGAAACTCAACAGGAGGTGGGGACAGGTTTGCACCGCTGGTTCCAACAGTTTTTAGTGAGGACGTGAGCTGTGTCGGACAGGAAATCCATAGTGTTGTATCATTTTGAGAGGACGACCACATGAAGGCCACATGCAGGCAAACGTAAATTGATCATTCGTCAACCTCAGTCGAGGTTCATCATTTAAAACATGCAGGGAACATAAAATTAGCTCTCACATGTGAGCATTGTTTATTGCTCCTTTTATATTAAGATCCTGGAAATGTTCTAACTTTTATTAGGCCAAATGATTAATCTATCAAAAGAGAACGGAGTCAATATTTTAGGTGATTAAGAATATTTAGTTTGAATTCTAGTATCTTTAGCATGTCTGCATTACAGTTCAGTGATACTACTAGTGACACTGTGGTGAGCTGTGGTGAGCTAAACTGAGCAGCATTAGCATGTTTATGAGGAACTGAAATCTTGAAAAACTTCAGAGCAAATTTCTCGTGTACCACTTCAGTGTCAGTCTTTCTTTGCGGTCGCTGCACAACAGATGTGAGATATTGATTTTTACAAAAAGAAGTCATGTCTCAGCATGATTTAATGAATGAAACGAGTGTGAAATGAATGCTTTAGTGACAGGCCCATTTTTTGAGTGTCTTCACAGCTTTAGTCTTAAAACAATCTTTTCACTTCCCTCTCTGGGTCATTATTATGAATAGCAGCAGTTTTACTTTAAGTGCTGCCGCCTCAACCTTCACCATTCCTCCAGTCACGAGCTGTAAGTGGTTCATCATTTACACCAGGAGTGCCTGTCAGGCTGTGTGTGTTATGTCAACGTTCGAACCATCCTCCAAGAACATTTTCCCATTAGCTGAACACTTTGACGAGTTTTGAACGACGTTATTATCAACTCGGCTGTTACGACATTTGGTCATAAGACGACTGGATCGTTTGTCTAAAAATCAGCCGCGTAGGCCCATGTGCTCCAAATCTCATGACCGCCTCCAAAGTGCTGTCAAGAGTGCAGAAATGTATTCAGCAGCATCAGATATCTTTAGGAAATGTCTCTCAGATAGATAAGAAGTTGTTGCATTCTGTGGCTTGTGCGTGGAGCGCATCAATCTATTGTGTCATTCCTGTATAACCAGTCCAGTCTTGTACATACTTCTTGATCATACTCATTTAGCTGCATTGTTTTCTATGAATAGAGATACAAATCAGTTTCCATGATACTAGTAATAGTATCTGCAGATATTTTTTCTGCTGATCAGCTTATTGTTTAAGATTGATTCACTATATCATTGATTTTTCCATATTTGTCTCATATTTGAAGTAGCACAATCAAATTTATGGCGTTGGTAAATGGTTGAATGAATTCCCATGTTGAGTTTTCATTAATCATTCCTCCTCTGAAGTACAGTTAAGTGTGTGATTTTTATGGTGTTTCTTGATTTAGATTCTGCTTTACAGAAGCAGGGTGGTTTATGTGGGACTGACTGAAGGTACATTTTTTTGACGACAGAGGAGGTCTATGAAAAAGAGGATGGAGATATTCACTGTCTGCTGCACAGTCTCTTAACTTGTTAGTCCAGCAAGTTAATTGTTTGTATTATGCTTTCAATGAAATATGTTGCCAGTAAGAATTATACAGAATATCACCTGACAGTGGCCTGAAGTTTGGGCGCACCCGGTCAAAACGTCTGTCGCTGTGAATACAATAATCGTTTAATCAATATTAGTTGGGGTTTTTGTTTTGTTTTTAATAGTGACACAAAGGAAATTAGCACAATACAAAAGGTGGGCACAACATCTCAGACCTGATTTGGTTTGTTAAAACATGTTTAGAAAAGATCCACTGCTGCAAATTTCATAGCTTTTTTAAATACTCAGACTCCTCAAACATTGTCTCAACAATCTGCAGCCGTGGGCTCTTTTAAGCAGCCGCCTAGCACTCTGAAAATTAAAATAACTGATGCCCACAAAGCAGGAAAAGGCTATAAAAAGATAGTAAAGTGATTTCAGTGGTCGATGCCTCAGTTCACAATGTAATTAAGAAATGGCAGTTAATGGAAATGTTTGGAGTTCAAGTTGTGGTCTGGAAGAGAGAGAACTGCTCACAGGGTGCTAGAAAGAACAACCTGAACCTTTTTGAATCTCACTGAAGAGGTGTAAAGCTAAAAACTTTGCCGTGGCCCATAGTCCCCTCACTTAAACATCTTGTGGATAGATCTGAACAGTGCATGCAAGACGGTCCAAGAATCTTTTGCACGAGAGAATTGGCGAAAATCCCCCAAACAAGGGCCCTGTTCAGACCTTGTGTTAACATTCGTCCTGAGAGATGCAATCACAAGTGAACAGCTCTCTCTCTAAGCTCTCTAAGCTCACATTCAGAGGTGGTCCTGGACGCATGTGGTAACGTTCTGGTGCTGTATGAACATGAATGTGTCCTGGGCCACATTGAAGCACTGTCTACTCAACTGACGCCCTCATCCTGCTACAGTTTCATGAATAGTATTGTATTTTTCAAATTCTCAGTGTTTTTCATACATTCATTCGTTTGTGTTCACTGTCACAATATCAAACCATCTGCATAATCAGATAAAAACATCATGTGGTCTTTGTGAAATGATACAAGCGGAGAAGTGAGATCCAAACATAGGTGGTTACAGGAGACACATACAAATACCTGGTGTTAACTGAAGAGAGGAGCTGTCAGGATAGATGTTAATGTCAGGTCTCAACACGGCAATGAGGGGGTTTACATGTTGTGATGCTCGTGTGGGTACTGACAGTGAAAGGCGCCTAAACGTTTTGTAATTTTGAAACTGAAAGATCCAAAAATAAACGCTTCAACGCAATGTGTCATTTGCAACTCATTTCTCATACCACTGCATCTTCAAAATCTGTCTGCGTCTGTCATTTCAGGATGTAAAGTTCCACGCAATTTTCGCTTGTTGGAGGAGCTTGAAGAGGGACAAAAGGGCGAAGGTGACGGCACAGTCAGCTGGGGCCTGGAGGATGACGAGGACATGACTCTCACACGGTGGACAGGCATGATCATTGGACCAGCAAGAGTAAGCGGAGAGAACTCATCACGAGGATTGCCCTTCCACCACAGTCGTAGAATGCTGTCTCATAGCTAACAGATGCTATAAATGTGTTTCTGTTTCTGTCTTTGTTTTTCAGACCAGTTATGAGAACAGGATATACAGTCTGAAAGTGGAATGTGGACCTAAATACCCAGATACAGCCCCGACTGTTAAATTTGTAACAAAAATTAGCATGAATGGGATAAATAATTCCAATGGGTCGGTAAGTGTCATCGCTCAATCTGACAAGGTTATGTTCAAGTGTCGAGTTCAGAAATTGTTTTTGCATCGCAGTTCTGTGATGCTCAGACGTGATGCGTTCAATAACTCACTGTCAGCAGTCTTGTCACGATGACTGATTGTATTTGTCTTCTCTCTTTTTTGTTTTTGTCTCACAGGTGGATTCACGTAGCATACCAGTATTAGCTAAATGGCAGAATTCTTATAGCATTAAAATTATTCTTCAAGAGTTAAGGCGTCTAATGATGTCCAAAGAAAATGTAAAGCTTCAACAACCACCAGAAGGACAAACCTACAGCACTTAATCGTAATGGATTGTGTCGACCCTCTGTCTTAAACCTTACTCTCTTAGAAATATTGTGTAAAATCATCAAGAGGCTCACTTCGCACATCTACAATATCGTCTGCAAGAGCAAGATTGGACTTTCTTATTACGTAGCTCATTCATTAAAAATGTCCCTGCAGTTGAGCACTGAATAATAGTAAAAAGACTTTAAGACCACAATTATCTGCCTTTAATAAAGTTTCTTTGACAATGACGTCTATGTTCAACCTGTTCCAGCTTGAGTGGGCTTTAAGAAGAAAGCATGACGCCACGCAGAGGCTGTCTCAAGTTTTATGTTCAAACAACTGATCACTGAAGTAAAATGGCAAGATGTGTGTACGATGGCATGTTCTGTAACTAATAACCTAGTCGAAGAGTGGCCACATTTTTTTTTTTTTTGAGTTGTTAGTCAAATTTAGCAGGTTCATTGAAATATCATGCAGATGACAGAATCATTGAACTGTGGCTGTAGTCTAAAAGTAGTGTCACAAGGTAAGAACGTTTTTTTTAAATAAATATATAAATATATATATCTGTACTTGACACGATACCAATGTTTCTGTTCTCCAGCTCTTTGACATGTAACAGACGTTGAAGCCTGTTCCGTTCTGAAACCCTTGCATTTAACTTCCGGTGAAAATGGCAGGTGTATGAACTTGTGATTTTCTGAAATTAAAAGTCACTGCGAAAAAAAAAAAAAAAAAGGAATCAAATCCAAAGCCTAAGTTTATTTGACTCCTTTGCTGCAGAAGTCTGTTCAACCACAAGGGGGCCTCTACTGACAAGGTTGGGTTGAGTTAGCTCTGCCTGTCTGTAATGGAACCCATGTTAATGAAATGTATGCAGGACACCACTCTGCAGATCTCTCATACTGTATATGACTTGTTCTCATTAGAATAATAGAATCAAAACACATACTTCACACTTCAGCTCATTTACTGGCATATTCATTAGAGGAACACTTCCCCTGATTGACAGTCCACCCACACCTTTCTATGCTGTGCACTAATTCTCAGTTCAGTCTCCACATGCTGCAGTGTTCTGTAGTACATGTTTAATATGGCAGCCAGAGCAGAGGCCACTGTTCCCTCGGAGGAACTGGCCTTTTGCTATGTTTAAGCTGTTATTTGTAAAATGTAATTAACCAAATGGGTATTTTTAAGAGCATCTACTGCAGATGGTGCAATCTTCCATCTTCACTATGCTTTTGCTCTTAACTTTTTAAATCTTGGAGAATTGAGGCTGATTTTATTTGCTCCGGTGACGAGTTGCATGAGAGTCGAGGGGATAACGGTGTATTTCCATTCCCATAATCTACAGACTCGCTGATTTATTGTGGAGGGATTAATCTTTGATGGTTGAGTGGCATTGTGCCGTCAGTCAAATCGCTCACTTGAAGTTTCAGTTTATCATCATTTGTCCTCCTGCCCAGTGACTACCTTTATGATGGATGTGGAAGTTTGGAAAAGCTACCGGTCCTCAAAAACATACAAGTCTCCTGACATGACTGTGCGTCATGTCTGCCTGTGACATGTTAACGTGATCAACTGTGGCGGCTTCTGCATTCGACCTGTGTGACCTTTTGTGGCCGTATATCTTCCTCGCTGCAGCAGAGCCCGACTGCAGGCTGCAGGCCTGGGATGCGGATGTGTCTTCTGGCCACAATGTGACCTCACTGTCACAGCAGCAAGGCCAGAGCTCAGCATGGTGATGATTCATTCATCTCCCATGAATCCCCTCTCTCTTTTCTTGTCCTGCTGGGGTCTACTTGTCCCAATGTGTTTGCTTTTATAAGGAAATAAATACAGATATATCTACATAAGCACACTGTGACATATTCTATACCAAATGACACCGTGTAGCAGCATTTGTGTATGAAAACTCACAGCTTTTATTTTCATTGAAATGTGCAACGTCTGAGCTTTGCTGCGTCTGTGGTCGCTCCACTGCTCCTCTTGTCCAATCAGCCCAGAGCTCTGTCCCCTAGAGGGCGCTCCATGCTCATGTATGTCCTTGACGCTGCTCTGTGAAGGGGCCTCTGTTTAGAGGACATGACTTGTCTGAAAAGGCACTGCCACTGTGACGCTCCCAGGCTCCGTCTGTGCGTGCTGTCATTATTCTCTACAGAAGTGACGTGTTTTCGCTGCTCGCTGTAGGGACATTCAGCCCGTCCATTTTGCAGGCTACTCTGCAAAAGCTCCTACTGGAGCTGGTGTCCTAGTGTGTCCTTATGAGGCTACAGAGGACGTGCATGTGAATGAATAATAGTTTATACTAAGTTTTTTAATCTATACTAGTGTGCAGCATTTTCTGCTCAGTTCCTGTGCATGTGTGTGTGTTTGTGGGCGTGAGATGAGTCAGTGTTTGCTGCGGAGGATGACCTCTTCTTCAGTCTGCCAGACGAGATCTGACTTTGTAGATGTGACAGTACACAGGCCCAGCTTCCATCTGCTACGCTCCAACTTGCTTGTTGTGTTTATTTTTTTTTTCTTTCCTCTGAGATGTCATGAATATGAAATCAGAACTGGCTTGTGTTGCAGACGGTTCATTCAACAGCAGAGTCATCCCCACATATAAAAGACTCAGCCCCAGGTTACGCAGGCTTATTCCTTTATTCGCCACATGTACTTCCCAGCGTCCACCGCTCTGAACCTCGGCTCCTGGTGACTACACTTTTATTTTGAGAATCTCATTTGAATGGAAGTAGGAAATCCTTACTTGACTGTCTAACCTCCGGCCCCATCACACTAATCTGAATTTCAAACTCAGGCACCTGCATTAAGTTGCCAGCTGAAGCCACAAGGAGCTTATTACACTTGTACCTCCCATTCTGTTCCATTATTATTTTTATTTTTATATAAAGTGTCTTCTGGGCAAAAATAAAGAGTTATATTGCTTTGGGTCAGAAGGGACTGACGGCAGAAATCTAGAGAGAGCTGCTGTGTGATCTAAGATGGGAAGGAATGTGGTGAGGAGGACATACGTCTCGTCTGCCGGCAGACTGCTGGAACCAGGCCTCTGCTCCCAGAGCTCTCACCTTTTGCCCCGAGGGGCCAAAGGGTCACGTCTTGCGTCTGTTGATACTGTAAAAAGCTTTGTCTTCTTTATGGTCAGCGAGGGGAGGCCGTGTCTGTCTTCCTGAGAAACTCCATTTTTTTCTCCATCTCCCATTCTCCGCGTCCTTGTCATAACTTACCCTTGAGTTTTACAAAAGAAGAGAACTCACATGATCTCTGTCTTCAGATTTAAAGTAAAACTAAAGATGACACAGGTAATTAAAATGAATTCTTATTTCCATCATGCTAAAGAAATCAGTCCAGCTGACAGGATGACCTCAAACTACCATCAAAACAACATGGAAAATATCAAATACCTATATCCTCTATATCCCATCCTCAATAACAATCTAATAAAAAGACAATTAAAGCTTAAATGTTTGGATTTTACAAGTTTTCTAATGATAACAAGTAGATCTAACTTCAGAAATGTAACTGCATACATATATGATGATCTGAGAGTAACAGGAAATGTCAGATTGATGGTTTTCGAGATTTAATGAATCTGAATCAGACATGAGCTGGTGATGCCAGGAACGTATTCCTGTAGGGTTGTCACAGGTCCTAAAAAGTGATCAATTCAAATTGTTTATATCTGTAAACTCTCACTCAAACAACTTCCCCTGTTGGTATCAACCCTGAGAAGCACTACAGCTCTGGTCTGGCTGATGTGACATTTTGCCGACCCTACAGAGGGGGTCTGTGGATGTTCTCATGGGTAGCTGTTTTTTTGTCATAAACATTATTAGCTGTAGTCGTTCACTCGATCCTTCATTGATAACAATCTGAGCTGTTTCTAAGCATGTGCTCTCACTAGCTCCTTCTGAGAGATCTCTCGTTTGTCTTTAAACTTACTTTCATTACAACAGACTGTGGACACAGCTCTGACGTATCCTCATGTGGCAAACGATTGTTGCTTATTTACACATCCAAGTGCAAATTCATTTCCTTTCATCCCTGCTTTGGTCTCCACCGACTCATCAGGGGAAAAGTGTATCTTGAGACACTAAATGGTTAAAAAAATGGTTGCGGTCCATGAAACCAAAACAACGAGCTCAAAGAGGTTAAATGGTTTTGAAAAGCTGAGGTTAACCACAAAGTTATGTTTTTAATTAAAACCGGCTTAATGTTTGTTTTTTTCCAGAGCTTCAAACTATGAGCAGATTGATTAATGAAATGAAAGAATTTGTCATCAATCTTAAATTTCCTTTATGTTTCATTTTTAGATCAAACAATGTCCCAAAGAGGCCCAGAGAGTGAGATACCGCTTCATGATAGTTTTTTATGTATTATCATTAAAAGGATCAGTAATACTAACATTGTTTAGTTGAGCCGATTACCCCACATACAGTTTTGTTGGGAGGTTTGAAATACATAGTTCCTGTTGAGAGTTTAAGTGCTGTATTTACAGTGAGATAAATGAATGGCCTCCCTTCTCGCTGTGAGAAAAGAGGCCGATTGGAACCACATGTCTGATGCACTGCTGCCTCTCTGGGCTATTGACATGCTCTTCACAGACACATCCACATTCAGATATGCTGCTGCTGCTGCTGACTTCATTTTTATGCTCACTGATGCTGTAAGACTCGTCGAGCGACAGCCCGGAGTTATAGGAATGCTTTGATTTGAATCTGCTCGCGGCGTGTGATGTATGGATGGAACTATCTGGAACATGAATTTTAAAAAAGTCAGAGTGTTGCTTGTAACTGCGCAGCCTCATCCTGGGTTAAAGTGACACAGAGCAGGGCTTCTTACTAAATGTTAAAAAAAAAAAAGAAATTGCTGAGGAAAAAAGAGTCCAAATCGTCAGAGTGTGTACTCACTACATTCCAGGTTATTTATACAGGGTGAAAAAAAACTGTATAGACTTCATGTCTCTGCTTGGTGAGAACTATTAAATTACTGGTGGATGTTTTTAATTACTTCACATAAATGTTGGAGCACAACACTTCTCCAGTGTTTGGAGGAGGAGGGGGGGCCATAATGTCTCACATGTTGAGGGAAGCACTGGCTTGCACTTAATCATGGTGGTCCCTGTGTGATTCTGGCGTTGGAAATGTGGCTTTGTGAGAGAAAAGTGAGCATTCCTTCTGCTGGCGCAAGGGAGAGGAAATGGGTAATAAAACCAAGAGAAAAAAAACCTCGGCGGCGTGCTGGA